AGACCCCACAAACCACTGCTGTAGCACCGTGGTCAATCGATTGTATGCCATCGAAAACTCTTTTCAAGTCTCTATCTAATCTCCAAGTAACCAAACCAAGTATTATTGAGATCTAAAGTCTTGTTCAATCCGAATGCCTAACTAGATATACGTAGACTTTGAAGAGGCATTTCTGAGTATAAATGTTTGACCAAGCAAATGGGGACTCTACCAAAGCCCAAGAACATGCTCTACCTATATAGGATGGGATAACGAATGAGAAAGAAATATGAAGCAGCAAAACCCATCCTCCACCAAAGTCTCATACCAAGTGCTTCCCAACTATGTCAATATCACATAATAAATTGGAAAAGTGTAAAGAGGAAAAAAGAAGTGCCTATGCCGGTTTTTGTCATGGGTAGTGGTGGTGGACCAATTCTGAAAATGCTCTCTCTCTCTCTTCAATAGTACCATCATCACCACTTGAGTAACTCATACTTCTTCTTCTTCTTCTTTTTGACTAGTTTTTTTTCTCCATTATAAGTTTGAAGATTTTAAGGATCCATCGCTTGATGGATTTGGCCTTGCTGGTTCCACAACCATCTGGAAACTGAATAGGAGATTTGGGTTACTGAATTGGCAATGAAGGAGCTCCCGCCATATAAACCAGGAAGGCGCCGATCGAAGACATTGTGAAGATATTTTTGTTAATTTGGTAGTCTGTATGGGTTCTTTTACCATGCACGTACCTGTGCACGCAAAGATTTATATACAATTAAAGATATTATATTGAACCTCAAAAATTAATAATTAGATTTATATACCTGTACATATATATTTGCTTGACATCAATGTTTGGGGATCTGCGTGGACTTCTTTACTTGCGTATGGACGTGCTCACAAAAAGAAAAGAAAAGAAAGAAAAGGAGACATGTAATATAAAAGGCTACTCTCTCTATGTTGGGCTGTACAAAACATGTGAACTGATCTCTGGATAAATCGAGATTTAAAATTGTCGATTCAAATTAAGTTCTCATTTTAATAACGAAAAGGTTGATTAGCACTAACCCCTTTTCTTAATGAGAATTTCTCTCTCTAATCACGTGTCATCTTCTCTGATTCTTTAGGAACTAAAAGCCAACGAAATCGGAAAGGATGGGGAGAAAAAACTGTGTATGCAAACGAAAATAATCTTAGCAAAAGTGTTGGGAATAAACTATAGATTAATGGTCTTTTTGAATAATATTGCTGTATGCTAGTTTTGGTGGTGGGTTTGAGAAAATATAGTTTGTACCGTAGTTTTAAGATTTAGTTTGGTGACCGGCCTGGTCTAAAACCTAAGTTTTTAGTTTTAACTGGTCATCTACTCGATCGTTTTAAATTTTATTTATTTTTTTAAAATTAAAATGATATTATTTTTAAAAAAATAAAAGATTAATTGGTTCTTAACTGGGTCTTGCTAGGTTAACCAGGTTGCATGTCAACCGAGTTTTTTCTTCTCTCATTTTTTTCTTCAACCCGGCCTGGTTTCATCCCTAGATTGGTCGGGTCTCAGGTCAACCAGTCGGGTCGGGTCAGGTTTCAAAGCTCTGGTTTGGATTGTAGAGTGAATGTATTAAAATAATTTTAAAATAAAAAAATATTTTAAAATAAAAAATAAAATAATTTTAAATTTTTAAAAATGTTTTCAATTAAAAAAACAAAAACATGTTTATCATCTTTTTAAAATAACATATTTGTATACTAGTTTTGGTGGTGAAATTGAGAACATGTAGTTTGGACGGTCCAGTGAATATATCAAAATAATTTTAAAATATAAAAAAATATTTTAAAATAAAAATAAAAATAATTTTGATTTCAATTTTTTTTTTTTAAATTCTTTCAATTAAAAAAAAACACAAACATGTTTATCATCTTTTTCGTGTTATAGCCGAGCATTTTAAAACGTGTTCCACTACCATCAAGGAGTCAAATCATCTTCGTTTCAGAGGAGGGCTGGCTTGCTTCTTGCCACGACACCCAGCCCTAGATGGTAACGCTTGCTTTTATATTGACCTTTAAATTGACTTATTGAAAATCTGACTAATCTCAAGGAAATATCAAGCCCACTCGACGAGGATAAAAATATGGTTTGGTCAAAACAAATGCGTTATTATTAGTATTATTACCCATGAAGTCATAAGGACCCCACACGTTTGCAATTCAATGCCCTCGTGCCACCCACGTCTTTAGGATACAAAATGTTTCGTCCCTCCAATGGACGTCATTAGCCCCTCTCGTCGCATCGTCTGCCGTCACAAAAAAAATAAATATGCAAAGACTAATCCATGTGAGCAAGATTTTAACATTTTCCTTTTGCATTTTAGTGGCCTTTTTTCTGGTTTTACAGATACAAAATAATAAATAAATATATGAACCATTGAATTGATAGAATCCATCGGTAACTTTGACATTCAACTTTTTTAAAAAAGAGAGTTGATTTCAATTTAGGTCGAAATAAATCCATCAACATTGAATGACCTCTTTTAGGTTATTATAAGTAGAAGACAAAAGAAAATTTAGTCTTGAATTTTTAAAATTCCATCAACAGATTATTCATTAAAATATTTTAAAATTATTTGATGAGATTAGATCTTCAACTCTTGTTGAGAAATTTTTAATGATTTCATGTATATTATTTATATTAAAAAGTTAAAAATTCTTGGTGTTAAAAAGATTTTAAAAATACAAATATTGAGTTAAAAATATTAAAATTCAAATGCTTGGTGTTAAAAGAAAACTAACTTCTAAGCTTCTATATCTCTATGATGGTATAATCATCAGCCAATAATGTAACAATATATCTAATAAAACTGATTAATATTGAGAATCAAATGTCATGAGTGCTTGACCCGTGATAGAATAAAATATTTATTTATTAATGGGTTCCGTGGTTTAAACTTTATCTTTGCATATAATTTTCAGATTGGTATATATATTATTTTATTTATTTATGTTTTTAATTATAAATGATTTGCATTTGCCTCGAACCCCGTGAGAGTAAATTAAAATTAACTCTTAAGAATACGTTTACAAGGCTAATCACATAAATATTACCCTTTCCAAGTACATACATTTAATATGATGGTCCAGAATGACTAATTTACAAATTGATATTACTATGAATTAGTGATTGAATTATTGTTTTGTTATTTTTTATTTAAATTAATATTTTTTATAAGTAGATTAAAAATTAAAATCTTGCAATTGTTTTTATATTTTATATAATACTTTAATTACATAAAGCGAGGGTTAGCGTGTCTTTTGTAAGCCAAGAAAACAAATAAAATCGTTACGATGATTAGCTAAAAACAAATCCTGACCGCCAGATCCTTTATCATAGGATTCGTTAGAAAGGGAAAGCTCGGTACGCTTTGAATCACGAGGCACTGGTAACGGCTATGACTTTTCTACAAAGCTGTGGGCCCAGGAAAATCTTCTAGCTGTCAGCCCACCCCCCGTCGGTGTGTATGTTTTTCCTTTTCCCATTCTTGGTTTCTTCCAGTTGTACATTCATCTCGGAGAGAGAATACTGTACTGTAGCAGACGGAATGGGATTTGGAGTGGAAAATAAAAATAAAAATAAAATATATATATATATATAACGTTGAAGGTGGCACTAGGAGATTCCAGCCTTCTAGTTCCACCATTTAAGTAAAAAAAACAATACTATCGTGTGTTTCCGAGAGCAAGTGGTTTGGCACGTGCGAAGGAAGTGACCGGCAGAATCTGAAAAGAAACCACAGCCACAGATCATGGGCAGGCATCTGTTCAAGAAATTGACGGGGTCCGTGTCCGAACTAAAGTTTCAAAACATCCTCTTTTCATGCTGGTGATCTGGCCATTGTTTCAGGACACCATATTCCGAGAATAATAGTCGGTGTAAGCCTTTCATTTACCTACGATATTTGCTTTTTATTCAGAGAAGAACACTTGGTAATATTTTTATAACAAAGTATAAAGGGAAAATCAAATGCTCACGAATACCAAGATAACATTGATACGAATAAAAATCTACAATACCATATAGTTGAATCGATATAATTTAACGAGCTATTAAAATAATGATTAAATAATAAGAGTTAGAGTTTTTATTAACAAAAAAAAGATGAATTTAAAATCAATATGAAAACATTCACATGAGTGTGACTGTGACCGGAGGTTTTTTGAGTATTTTTATGGATATTTTTCAAATTGATTAATTTCAGGATTCATTATGTATTTTATTTTTATTTTCTTTATTTAATCATTATGTATGTTCCAGGTTTTACAACGGGGTTAATTGTACTAATCAATCCTACCACGTTTCCATTTTGTGCCGAAACTTGGTCATTGTATTCCAGGTGCTTCATTATTATTTACAATACTGTAACTGATTTAAACTAGACACACAATAAATAAAACTAAAACCAAGTCTCTTAAAAGGATTATCTCATCTTATATTAAAAGAGCACTTTTGTTTAAGGGCATAGCACTAATATTTTAAACATGTAAAAAAAAAAAGTCGCATAACAAGCAACATTAATTTGAATGTTTATAATTGTGGTAATTTTTTTTTAAATGTATTTGAAAAGTATAATTCATTTAAAAAACATAGGTGCTTTTTAATGATTTTTATTTGTTGATATTAAAAATAAAAAAATAATTTTTAATATATTTTCAAATAGGTAATATTAAATAAAAAAAATTAATTTTAATATATTTTCAAATAGATAATATTAAAAAAAAAAACATCATACAGCACAATAATAATCACATATTTGTTCATTATTTTTTAATATATTTTAAAATAAAAAATACATTTTTTAAAAAATCATACAACATAATAATAATAATAATAATGATCATCACACATAAAATTTGTTAATTATAGAAAGAAAAAAAAAAGCCCACAACATTTATTTTAAAGGGAAAAGTAAATTCCTCCACGGGGTGATGAGCAGAACTTAAATTGGAGCACTCGCCCAATAACTGGCTTCCACTTTATTTTCTATTTTGTCGGCAATTCACGAACTTCCATTTAAATACACAACCGTGTGGACTTTCCAACACTCATTAAAAGGCGGAGCCACCCAAGTCATAACCCAGCCCAACCCAATCCAAGCCAACGCTACCAAACCCCACGTAACCCTTTGACATTTTACCAAGTCAACCCCAAAAAACCAAAACTGGTTTTCAGCTTGTCTAGAGTGAAAAAAAAGAAAAGAAAAGGAAAGGACAAGATAAACATTGAGATGCCAAATTGCCATTCTCTCTCTTTCGCTATATATTATTGTTTCCCCAGTCCCCACTCATTACACCCCCTAACCCCTCTCTCCCTCTCTCTTTCTCTCTCTTAAAAAGTCAGCGCCTTCTTTTGTCTCCTCCCTATAACATCAGTTGCAGAAGGAAGGTACAGATTCACAGACCTTGTCTCTGAAGCCATGGAGGATATTGATTGGGATCTTCATGCTGTGGTCCGAGGCTGCACCACCTCCACCTCCAACCCTTCTACAACCACGACCACCACCATCAACAGCAACAGCACTGCCAGTGGCTATAGATCAGATTATTATCCTCAATACTCTTGCTTTTCTGGTTTTGGAAGTGAGCAAGATGGGCATCTTTTCTCTCATCCAGATCCCTTTGAAACAAGAAATGCTATTGGAGAATTGCATGAGCTTTACAAGCCATTCTTTCCCAAATCTCAGCAGCCCCTTTATTCTCCACAAGCCTGCACACCCCTCTCTTCTTTTTCTTCTATTACCAGTTTTACCAAGGAACAGCCACAGCAACAGCAAAAACAGCCACAGCCTAAGCAGTCTCATACTGGTTCTGTGATTAGTAGTGCAAATTCTCATACACCTCGATCCAAAAGAAGGTAAATCTGCTTACTTCTCACTCGCAGCAAGGAAAAGAATTTGATTTGGTAGATAATCATCAAAGACAGACAAACTCTTTCGCTAATATATACTTCATTTGTATATGTTTGTTTTGTCACAGAAAGAACCAGTTAAAGAAAGTATGCCAAGTACCAGCTGAGGCTCTCTCTTCAGATGTGTGGGCATGGCGAAAATATGGGCAGAAGCCTATCAAAGGCTCTCCTTATCCAAGGTAATAACATACTATGCATCCATCTTGAATTTAATCAAAGCCTGCCTTTTATTTTGGTATTCTCGGTTTGGTATCAAGTCAAAACTTGTAAATTTTCTTTTTCTAATTGATTAAACTCTGGTTTGTTCAATGAATAACAGGGGTTATTACAGATGCAGCAGCTCAAAAGGGTGTTTGGCCCGGAAACAGGTGGAAAGAAACAGATCCGACCCAGGAATGTTCATAGTGACCTACACAGCAGAGCACAACCACCCAGCTCCTACTCACAGAAACTCTCTAGCAGGCAGCACCCGTCAGAAGACCTCAACACCTCAAACTGGCAAAGCTAATGATTCTAGCAAACCATCATCACCAGCCAAACCCGCTTGCTCATCTCCAGCAACTTCTCTGGAAGATGAGCTATTAGCTCAAAGTACTTCAAACACAGAATTAAGCAGAGAAGAGAAAGATATAACGGAAGATGATGATGAAGATGAGATTGGTGGGTTCTCAGATATAGCTGTTAGTGACGATTTCTTTGCGGGTGTAGAGGAGTTTGTTGGTCCTGCCACCGAAGATTACTTCCCTGATCATTTTCCAGCAAGTTTTGGTCAGCCCTGGCTTGCTAACAATGCTGCCACGGCAGCCGAAAGTATTTGACATTAGTTGAGAATGGCATCTCTGACATCGGTCTTATGCTTTTCTTTTATTTTTTTTGCTTTTTTTCTTTTCGGTTACTTGTATCATTTTGCTGGAAGTAGAATCTCAAAGGCATCAATGCCTTGTGCCTGTGAAGTGAGTGCCGCGGGTGAAAAGTAAAGAGTTTATTCCTTTTGTTGATCTTTAGACTGTTAGTAAATTGGTCTGTACATTTATCCGCCTTTTGCTTTTGCTATGTCAAGGCATTTAATTACTTACGAGGGTGAGAACTTTGGTTGGGATGAATTCTTGTTAATTGTCGGGTTATTACTGGCAAATCTCATGTTTGGAAGAGATAAAGATAAAGATATCCGTGGCCTCAGGGTGTCTTACCCTAGCCCCATGGCATGTTGCCTCTTCAATTGAATCAGGCAGCATCCACCATACGTGTACGGCAGCCTCGAGGACTTGGACATACACGGTTGACATCTCTTTGGTTTCTCAGGGAGATCCAAATCATGGCCACAGAAAGTAAAATGAGTACTAAAATTTCTCGATGAGGTGATTATTTTGACAACTTTCCGACAGACAGATTTTCTCGCAGAGTCGGGCCAAACGAGAAAAACAAATAAATGGAAGTTAATTGGGATTAAAACATTGTGCTTAACTGAAAGGTTGGACATACCATTGGTCTTGTAGAGTTCAACTGGCTTATAGGATGTCACAAGATTCATGATCCTCTTCCATCTCATTATTTTCCAATGGAGTCGTTCACGCCGCTAGCTCACTCGGCTCCTAAACAGAAGCCAGCCCTTCTCCGGTTGCTAACACAAGTCAAGATGATAAAAAGATTAAAAAATCTCCTTTCAGACATGTTTCACTAGATGACTGTCCGGCAAAACAGTTCAACCATGCAAATCACTTACCCTGGCAAGACATACTAAGCTATGCTAAGCTTATTATAATTTTAGAATCAATTTTGGCACGAAATTCAACCCTTTGTCTAGAGATTCAACAGTGGATGACTTTCAGCAAGCAAATATCAAAATGCAATTTAACTGTGACAAGCATCACAATTATACCAATCTCCCCTTTCCCATTCTTCAAAATGAGAGGAAGGAATCCACCATCAATTGGATGGTGTTGTGGGACTAGCACGCTCGTATTGATACACCTCAGGAGAATGTGGTTCTCTAGAACAAGTCCGGCTGGAAGCCCCAACAAATATAGCAACATGGAGAGAGAAACCATAACAGACAGAAAACTGGACTCCTGGTCTCTCCTAAACATTGCTAACTTATCGGGACAGCACATATGTTTTCAGGAATCACGTCCTAGCAGAAGCCTTTTGTGCAGTGGAACCAGAAACCTCACATCCCGCAACAAATTTTTTCAACCTCTCTATTTCACCAACTGCAGAGAGCCACTCTGTGAGGATCTCCATGGTTATATAATCAGGATTACAAGCATGCTCAATCATTCTATCCATAAATTCAAAGACTTTTTCCAAATCTTTCTCGTCTCTAAGGCCTTTGAATATAGCATTGTATGTGGTGGTATTTGGCGTCACCCCCCTAATTTTCATATCTTCCATCAGCGAAACAGCAGATTTCACTTTATTATTCTTGCACAACGAGTCGATTAGGATGTTGTATATCACAGTGTTTGGTGGAACCTTCGAAGCAGCTTTCATGTCTTTGAAAATCTCCATGGCTTCATTAACATTTCCATTTAAGCAATATGCATTTATTAGAGCACCATATGTAGCGACAGTGGGCACCACACCGGCCTCGATCATCTTTCTCATCACTTTCTGAGCAAACTTTAAATCCCCAGTTTTGCTGGCATAACCAATCAAAGTGTTATATGTGATAGTATCGGGTTTCAATCCAACTTCCTCCATTTCCTTGAGCATCTCAAAAACTCTATGAAACTTGTTCGTCCTGCAAAACCCACCAATCAAAGTATTATAGCACACTGTATCAGGGCGGATCCCAAGCTCTTTCAACTCTGCCAAGACAAAACTGGCATCAGCCATCCTTCCAGCTTGGCTAAAACCAGAGATCAAGGTATAGTAGACAATTGCATCTGGAGAGCATCCACTTTTCAACATTTCATTGAAGAGTTCCATTGCCTTCTCAAAATTGTTCACATTACAGAAAGCATTGATCAAAGCTGTATAAGTAACAGCATCACCTTTCATACCTCTCCTTTGCGCCTCAACAAAGAAGTCAACTGCACTACTGACTCTCCCAGTTCTACACATGCCACCAACCAAAGTATTAACCGTGACGACATTTGGTGCAACACCCTCTTTATTCATCTCGTCAAACAGCTCCTTTCCCTTCTCTATCTCACCAGCTTTACAAAACCCATCGATCAAGCAATTGTATGTAATGGTATCAGGAGCGCACCCCTTCTGTGATCTCATTCTTTCCATCAAACCCAATCCTTCTTGTTGCCTTCCAACTTTACAAAGTCCATCAATCAACGTATTATAAATAACAACATCCGGTTCAACCGAAACACTTATGCCACCACTCTCTTTACCAGCACTCATCTTTTCAAGAACCTCCAACGCATCATCGACTCTCCTAAACTTGCACATATGATTAATAAGAATCCCAAAAGTAACAACATTCGGCTGAATATCCATTTCCACCATCTTTGCCATTAGTTCATTCATTCTATTAAAATTGCCCTCTCTTGCTAATCCTGTCAATAATGAATTGCAAGTAGCAGATTCCAAAACAGCCCCTAGTTTTATCATTTCAGTAAAAAGATCCCAAGCTCTATTAGTCTTCCGATTCCGACACAGCTTGGTAATCAATCGACCCATCCAAAACGAACTAATAAGAATCCCATGCTCGCCGAACTTCAACACCAGATTAACAATCTCATCTTCACTCAAAAGTTCTTCATTTCTTTCTCTCTTCAACAAAAACGAAAACAGAATATCCCCTGTAGCATCGTTCGGACGACAATTAGAGTCTTCATTTGACTCAAACATTTCATCGATCATCTTCAATGCATTTTTAACACGCCCGGACCTCAACAAAATACTGAGCCAAACATTACGAAGATAGGTGTTTTTAACAGATGGGTCAAGATCATTGAAGAGAATGAGAGATTCCTCCACCAACTCACTCCTTCCATAGGCGCGAAGGAGAAACGACGCAGCATTGACGGTGAGAGGAATATTCAACTCTTTCGAGGTTTTGTAAAGCCTGGATAGATTAGCATTTGAATCCGGTTCACAGAAAGCGAGCTCGAAAATGGCCTGGAAAGTATAGGAGAGTAGAGATTGGGTGTCTGGTGAAGAAGGGGAGTTATTTTGGAGGTAATTGAGGAACTTGAGGGCTTGAGAAGAGGAAGGTAAGCGGCGGGTGATTTGATAGAAAAGGCGAGGAGAAGAGGAGGAAGGAGGAGAGTCGGGGAAGAGGAGTTGATTGAGTTGAGTGGTGTCCCATTCATTTCCTGGTGTTTGAAGGAGTTGTAGGGCTTCGGTTATGATTGAGTTATGGTTGCTAGTTTTTTGCTGTGGCGGTGGTTGTGGTTCTGGAGGTTCGGTGGAAAGGCGGCGGAGGAAAGTGTGGGATGTGAGGAGGCGGAGGAGGTTTGAGTGCTTTGATGCTGAAACTGTTATGATGCTCATTTTGAGATGGGGAAGAAGTAGTGATTTTATTTTTAGGAGGGGCTTGGGAGCTTTCCCTGCGTAGTTTCAGGGTCAGGAGGGAAGGCTAAAGGCAGTTATGTACTACTTTCTGGAAGACGGATAGAAATTACTTTTTAAAGTATTTGTTTTTAAAAATAATAATATTTTTTTATTTTTAAAATTTATTTTTAATTTTCATATAATCTAAAAGTATATAAAAATAATTTATAACTATTTAAAAAAAAACATTTTGAACAATTATACCAAACAGAACACTCAATAAATGATGCTCTTTCGATCCCATCATCGGTAAACAATGCTGGCTTTTCGTGCAAGTATACACTTTTTTCAAAAAAAAATTCAGTTTAAGGCACCGTTTTAAATTTTTTTTTTTTTTTTTTTAAATTATTTTAATATATCAATATTATAAAGAGTTTTAAAAAAATAAAAAAATATTTTTAAAAATAATTATTACCACTTTTTCAAAAAAAAAAACGAACAAACATAATAGAAACAATTATAATTTTGTTTAAGTTTTTGGTCGTTTATGTCATGATTGTGTGAATAATTTATTTAAAAAAAATATTTTAAAACTCATAATAGTGCTGCGGATTCTGACTGAGACCGGTCTTTATCTTAATCAGCAAAATCGCATGGTTTCACCCTGCTTAGCCTTTTCTTTTTTACAAAAAAAAACACGAACAAACATAACGATCGCAACAACTGTAATTTTGTTGAAGTTTATGGTCATTTATGTCGTGAGAATGTTCAGTAAATAATCTTTTTATTATGAGACAGTCTCAAAATTTTAAATTTGTTCTTTATTTTAAAAATTAATATTAAAAATAATTTAAAAAAATATTATTTTAATATATCTTTAAATAAAACACAATTTAACCGAAGTCCCGCAAACTAGTCCGCCACGCACGTTCCAACACGAAACTGCTAATATTCCTGCTATCTAGCTACCTAATAAGGAGCTATGCATAGCCAGACCCGAATATATATATATATAGCTCCGAATCCAATTTCAAGATATATTTTAATTTCTATTGATTTTTAGGAGAGAGAAAAAAGGAAAAAATATGCAATTATTTCTACCGCAAAAATTTTCCTTCCATATGTATCTCGATTTCGAATGTCGAGAACTGATGCAATTTCTGGCTTAGCTTTCAAAGATGCACCACCAAACTAGTCTTCCGTTATTTCACTCTTCTTTCTGGTCAGAAAAGGGGGGGAGGCCGAGTAAGAAACACATCTGCCCGATTAACCAGTATTCAATCATTCGCTGGACCATTACTTGATACAGACATTTTAATTTTCTCAGCTGCTGCAGCTGTTGAAGCTGCTGCCTTGTCCAAACCTAACTTTTGCAATTCGCTCATGAAACCATTTATCTCAGTTTCACTAATTTTATATGGACTGTGGGCAGGACCAGGGAACGAACCGTTTGCCACTTCTTCCTTGTATTCAACTAGAGCTTTGTTGATGACATCTCCAACATGAGCATACTGCTTACAGAACTTTGGAGTAACCTATAACAGGTAAAACAATCCCTATCTCAGCATACAGAACGTTAGCTATGCGAATGAAATCAACAAACCAGGGTGGCAATTATGGGATTAACCTTGGCATGATGTGGATGTTGCATCATTCCCAATAGATCATGGTAAACTAGCACCTGCATGAACGATTAGATACAAATCATGCTACGATCCAAGAAAAAATTGAATATGAAAATTCAAACTCTAGTGTAATTGTGTCTACTGTCTAGTTTTACGCTATCAAGCATAACTCTTGATATGACCGTTGTAAACTGAAATTTTATCAGTAATTGCTAGACATATTGTTCTATATTGGATTACAATTTCAGATCAATCAAAATTCAATAAGGTCTTGCAATACAGGTCAGCAAATACAATATGAATTTTGTTATTTGTTACATTTTGGAGATGATTCTTTTCCTCGTAATATAAGGATATTCAACAGCTTATTTTTAAGAATTTCCTAGTTCTACAAGAATCTTTAATGGACAGCAATATAGTTTACATTTGAGGTAAAGATTCCTTGTGTTCTAAAATCCTTTTTTTACAAAGATTTCTTATTTATCCTAGTTATACAAGGAAATAAGAACTGAATTATTTAATGATAGATTATATTTAGGCTGAATTTTTTTTTTGTATTGATCTAAATTATTTTAAGGTTTTATTTGTTGTTTTATTTTATTATTTGGATATATACATTTGATTTAGGGCTTATGTTTTAGTTTGAGTTTGTTTTAGCTCAAAAATCAATGTTTTAAAATTGTTTTAAGCATTAGGCTTGTGTTAGCTGATTATTAACTTGGGCTCATTAATTTGCACCTAACAATAGTCCGTTAGGATTATTTAGAAGTAATATTTATGGTTTTTTTTGGCAGCAAAATTCAACTGCTGTGATATTTTGAATAAACTTGTGTTTTGCATGATGCAACACATAAGTTCATTCCAATTATGACTTATTGAGGTATAACTAATCTTATGACATCTTCACATACTTCGGATTCTTAATTCTCTATAATCAACAAGTCCAAGTTCAAATTTCAATGCATTTGATTCTTAGGTACATGATTATTTTTAGGTTAAGAATTCTATCCAAACCTGAATTTCAGTTTTTTTGGGTTGTTTATCTACTTTGTTGAGAGTTTCGGGATTGCTATCCTAGGGGTTCACATCACATCATGGATAGAAACGTTCAATTTCGAGAAAAATTAAGACTACAAGATTTCAAGTTTCCTGAAAAAATGCAGATATATTTCTAGTTATTCATGGGTACTTGAAAACGATAACTAAATGATTGTGTCTGGCAATGGTCATAAGTAAGAGATTCCCATGAGCTCATAGATAGTATAGCATAATCAAGTTAAAGGTAAAGTTCTTATAGTAATTATTTGGTGTACCTAAACACACGAACTTTCACTCACATTGTAAGTTTCAGAACTCTTGTTCATGTAATGCCATTGAAAATATCTTCTCTAGCGTCATCAGAGACAACCAGGACATTAAAAAAGGCCTGTGCCCTGTTTAACAAGATTGAAATCCTAGAACCAAGCACTTTCGGGCCTTTGGCTTTGGAGTATAAAACCCAATGAAATCTTCACATTCCTATATTAATGATCAAAACTAACTTGCATTACTTGGGAAAACCATAGCTCATAAGCTTTCTAGTATGACATATTTATCATCACCCAAACCTCTTCTTTTTTAAGTGTAATATGCTAATATTGCTTCCGGTCAACATAGAAGGTAGCATGCTTTAAATGCTTGAGTTCAAAATTGCACTGCCTCGCTTACCTCCTCTAGACAAGCAACATTGTAGGAAAATCACAAAGATAATCAAATTCTTTGATCATAAGAATAAACTTATAGTGGTGATCACCCCCATTCTACAGTCTAATTTGAAACATAACATGCAAACATCTTTATCAAAGGATCAAACAAAGAAACCAAGAGTCTATATGATAAACCTGGCCACTGCAAAAAGGTCCTGCCCCAATGCCAATGGTTGGGATTTTAAGAGCAGAAGTTGCTGCAGCTGCCACGGGAGCAGGCACGCATTCTAAAACTACCGAGAAACATCCTGCTTCTTGCAAAGCCAGTGCAGTTTCTACAACCTGTGCAACATAAACAAATTCAACACAACACAAAACAAACAGTCTCGTAAACAAAACACATAATCAACATACCTTTACAGCACTGGCAATGTTTTTCCCTTGAGGCCTGAATCCTCCAAGAACACTAATAGCCTGAGGAGTAAGTCCTACATGTCCCATAACAGCAATTCCAGCCTCAACAATTGCTTTAGCCGCAGTAATTCTTGATGGCGACCCTCCTTCCAATTTAATCGCATCCATCCCTCCTTCCTTCAAAATCCTAACTGCCGTATCAACTGCCTGCTCATAATCCAATCTCACTCAACATCACCAACCAATTCCTCACTTCAAAATATTCACATTCAGACAACACAAAATCCTCTCCACCACAATGAACCTCCAAGAAAACTTCATACATAAACATTCTACTATTTCATAACTTTCAAAATATAATATTTACAATTAAGATAAACAACAGACAGAGCAACATTTTAGCATGAGAATTCTAATGGGCACCTGGTTAGAACTAGACTCGTAAGTCCCAAAGGGCAAGTCACCTACGAGAAGCGGCCTTTTGGCACCACGAGCAACAGCACGGCAATGAACAAGCATCTCGTCAAGAGAGATAGGGAGAGTGGTGTCATGGCCGTGAACAACCATAGAAGCGGAGTCACCAACTAAACAAACATCGATACCTGCTGTGTCTAAGTGGACAGCAGAAGGGTAGTCGTAGGCAGTCACAACAGTGATCGGGTCACCCTTTTTGTGTTTTTGCTTTAAATGGGTTAGTGTTACTCTTTGGTGTGGGTTTTGTGGCTTCGGTCCGCCGTAGACGGTGTTTTCAGGGACGTTGCTCATGAAGCGGAGGTGGCGGAGAAGAGTTGTGGGTTTGAGAGTGGAGGAGGATTTGGTGAGGTAAGTGAGCAAACCCATTATTTGAGCGATAGGGAGTGAGAGGCAGCGAGAGATGGGATGCGTGAATGACGAGAAATTTTGATTGAATTTGTAGGTTTATTTATGGAGGGAGGAGTTAGTGGGGGAGGGTGGTGCATTTTGGCTGCGCCACCTGCACCGAGTTGGTAGAGGAGTCCGATTTTGAGTTGCTTTCTTCCATGGTTGGCATTGTTATCGACACGTGCCTTTCAGAGCTCGTGAAGGCCACTCTTTTTTGGTATGGTATATACTGGTATGTCATAAAAGAATAAAGAGAACCTGGGAGCTAGCATGTGCTAGGAAAATCGAATTAGGCTTTGGAAAATATTTATTTGAGGGTGGATGATGGTAACGTTAAATTCGAGAGAGAACCCAGGCTTAACATGAAGATGGGTACAATTGAGGATTTTTTTCTTCTTTTATTCATCTACGAAATGTATCTTTAGATCACTTTATGCTGAGTTTGTCGATTTTATTATTGTTGGTGTTATTTTTTTTTATTATTAGAATGATAAATTTTAGTTTCAAAGTATCTTAGCATTTTGTTTTATATATATATATAAACAAATTCAAAATATTGATTAAATATGCATGATTTAAGTTTAAATTTAAAAATAAATTTATTTGTATTATACAATATAAACATAATATTATTCATCTAAATATAATTTTAAAATTTAAAACATTATTAAATAATTAAGAGGCGAGATTGAATATAAATTTAATTTGAAGTAATTTAATACAAATAAAATGTTAAAATATTATAAAAATAAAAAAAAATTAACATAAAATAAGTATAAATCCAACATCATATTCATAATCACATGTGAAAATAAAAATTTTAATTTATAGAGGCACGTGAGAAAATTATCAATGAGATATTCCAATAAATGATTATTTCCATAAAGTTTATCCTCAACGTTAAAATATATATTTTTATCATATAAAATCAGAGTAAATAAAGATATCTCAATAATTTTATAACTTAAATTATAGCTGTTAGGGCTGTGTTCATATATCCATCCATCTAATAAGTTAATATTACAGAGTTTAATGAGATCCAAAGTGTTCTTTGCTTTATTCAAATATATATAAAATACAAATATGAAAAAAAAATATAAATCGTATACATCAATGATATTTTTTTTGTTAGGCAATACAAATGATAATAAAAAAATAACAATAATTATTTTTAATATTAAAAATTAATAAAATTAGAGATTTAAAATATTTTCTTCGGACAAGTCTTTCTATAATAAAATTACATTTTAATTTTGTCTAACTTTCATCTTGGGACATAATAATTAAAGTAAATTTAGAAAATTTTGACATGAATTTGGATGAGAAATCTAAAATGACAAAAGATCTTGAGCAAGATAAGATTTGTTTTAGTTTGATTTATTTTGTTAGATAATATAAGGTATACCAGTTATTATGAAAGGAAAAAATCTAGATTGATAACGTTGTTTTATTTATTATTTAATATTTAAGATGATTTTAAAAAAATATTTGAAAAACCCTTTTAGGTATATTCATAAAAATAAATTCCTTTATATATTAATTTTGATTTTAAACTAAAAAAATCAAGTAAAAAAATAAACCTTTTATATCATTTAATTCACCCTTCAGGTTCGATAAAAAATCCCATCAAGGACTTGATCAACGAGAAATTTAATAAGGATCGGTAAAAGTTGGCTCGGGAATATACTTACCATGAATTTGCCCCGCCAATATAATTACTAGTAGTTAAAAAATCGATCATGTTAAGAAAATAAATACATTGCTAACAGTCGGTTGCCTTCTTTTTCCCTGGTGGTAATAATATAAATTCTTTCATATAAGTAGTTTTAAGGTTTTACTTAAACGACTGGGGTTGTTTGATAAAAAAAATATAACTCTTTACAAAGCAAAAAAATACAAATACAATCCCATCCATAAAGTCTATAAAAAAAAATTATTATTTCTTTTTATATTTAATAAAAAAGAGAATTTGATTTAAGTTTGAAAATGATTTTTGATATTAGACTATTGTATGTAAGGATAAAAATTTTGATGCCCATATTTCAAGTTGAATAATGGCAAATGGAGTTATAAGGATAATTAAAAAAAACTCAAATTTAATATTAAAATAAAAAATATAAGTAAATGTTTTAAGACTTCTCTGGAACTGTAGAGTGATTATAATTTAAAATATTTTTTATTTTAAAATATTTTAAAATAATTTTTTTTATTTTTTAAAATTATTCTTAATATTATTATACATATAAAAATATAAAAAAATTAGAAAAAAAATTTAATTTTAAGAAAACGCTGCCCTTAAATCTCAAAAAAAAAAAAAACCACCGGCACTTAAACACACAGCAACGCACTTGATACATTCTCGTAGAGCGTGTAGTGCACGCTCATATGTAACGTTGGCACGACATTTTAAAACATTCAATCGGACCCGCATATCCATACAGTTTCATCGAGCAGATGACGTTTTCACTCTCGCTTGAGACTCTCTCCATCCAAAGTCTCAGATCAACCAAAATATCTGCTTGACTCCCTTCAACTCAATCATCGCTCATCTTGCCACACGTGTCCTTACACAACAAATCACCTCCGATGCGCTCCTGCAAAATGCTGTTCAATTACGCGCCACCCTCGTTGATAAAACCAGTACTCCATGTCACTTCCTCCTTCGCCTTATCTCCTCGTGCTGCTCCTCGTCCAGTCAATAAAATTCCCCTTTTCCACTCTCTCCGGATCTCATTCCGTACTTTCGCTGCCATGTCTGAAACTAACTCGGCCTCCGATTCTACGCCGGATCACATATCCGGAACGTGGTACTCGGTGCCGGGCCTCCGCCTTCGGGACCACCGATTCACTGTCCCTCTCGATTATTCCATCGATCGCAATCTTCTCCTAAAATCTCCGTTTTCGCTCGCGAAGTCGTTTCCGGTACCTAAAGACTAATCTCAATTAGAAAAATTATTAAAATTAAACTTATCGTGATTAGATTTATTTGAGATGTATCTATAATTTATACAAGTTTACACATCCTGAAGTGCTAAAGCACTGAAGTCAACTAAACCATACACTACTTGTACTGGATTAGAAAATATGATCATGTTGCTTGCATTGTTTTCCGGAAGAAAACAATAATGAAAATATTTTGTTAAAATGAATGGTATTGTCGTAGCTTGTATGCTTAAATACAGCTTCACTTGCATCTCTTTGTGGGAAAATCTGATATCCTTGCTGCCAGTTTCAATTGCAAAATTGATCTTTGGATCAGATATCCAGGTGTTCAATAATGGAAATTCTTATTGTTAGACGCGTGCAAGAATACATGACATGAGACTATTTAGAAACACTACATCACTGCAAATCTCTTGCCATGACACCGTTTCTTTATAGGCAAGCTGTGTGGTCTCTAGCTATAGTAGATATTGTCCATGCAATTTTTTTTTTATTTTCCGTGCAATTCATTAACTCAACAAAAATTTGGTTGTTGAACTTCATGGGTGAATATGTAATAATCATTTACGATTTGTATTTATCTTATATTAGATTATCTACTTTTTTGTTTTCATTTTAGTACATGTACTATTACTTTCACTTATGCATTCAGAATGTTTGCTGTAGTTGGGAAAGAAGAAGAACTACTGCCATACCTATTATATCTACAAGGGGGGCCGGGCTTTGAGTGCCCACGGCCAACTGAAGCCAGTGGATGGATACATAAAGCTTGTGAAAAATTTCGTGTTATTTTGATGGACCAGGCATGAATTCTTGGACATTCCTGAACTTTTACTGCCGTTTCACTATCTGTATTCATCCTCTCGTACACGCTGCTGTGTATTTTCCATGCAGCGAGGAACAGGCTTATCAGTTCCTTTGACACCATCATCCATGTCGCAATTGGATTCTGCGGAGGAGGTTGCTGAATACTTGAAATACTTTAGAGCTGACAATATAGTGAATGATGCAGAGTTTATCCGAGTTTGTCTTGTTCCTGAAGCTGGACCTTGGACGGTTTTGGGTCAGGTATGAAGATTATTAATCTTTATTGGTTTCCCATTTCTTGTTCTGTGGACTTGACCATCTTTTGTTCTGGCTTTTTGTTTCACGAGAACACCCTGATTTCAGTCCCTTTTACTTAAAGTTCCATTTACCTTGTGGAAACTAAAGTGACTTGAATTGCTGACTTCTTGTTCATTTTTTGGTTTAGAGCTATGGTGGTTTTTGTTCAGTGACCTATTTGAGCTTTGCGCCACAAGGGCTAAAACAGGTCCTTCTAACTGGAGGAATCCCTCCTGTAGGAAATGGATGCACTGCAGATGCTGTTTATGGAGCATGCTATCCTCAGGTTATTCACCAGAACGAAAAGTACTACAAGAGGTTTCCTCAGGATGTTGAAATTGTTCGTGAAGTTGTGAAACATTTGGCAGAATCTGAAGGAGGCGGGGTGATGATCTAGCACATGCAATTTTTATACTTTGGTTCATGAAAAGAAAAAAAAATGTTGATCATGCTGTGATTCTTCCTCGTCTCTCTTTTCCTATCTGTACAGGTGCTTCTTCCATCAGGGGGGCTCTTAACCCCAAGAGGACTGCAAACTCTTGGTCTCTCTGGTTTAGGATCCAGTTCAGGTTTCGAGCGTCTGCACTACATGTAAGGCATATATATATATATATATTGAGAAGGATGTGTAAACATTATTTTATCCCAAAAGAACTTGCAACTTTGTATTCTTCAGGTTTCCCCTCCCCCTTTCTTCTACCTTTATTTATCATATTTCCCCTTGCTCTGTTTGTCTCCACAACCTGCAGGTTTGAGAGGGTTTGGGATCCTGTAATAGTTCCAGGATTTCACAAGCAAATCAGCTACTACTTCTTGAATGCTGTGAGAACATTGCTGATCTTCTGTTGATTACTAATCCCTGGATTTTTTTTAGAATCAACCTAAGTTACTTCTTTTTGCAGTTTGAGAATTGGTTGGATTTTGATACAAACCCACTCTATGCTCTCCTGCACGAGTCCATCTATTGTCAGGTAGATTTTCCCGTTCCTCTTTTAGCAGTTTCTTTTGATTGTAGGTAAATTTTACTGTACTTTTGCATGATTATAGTGGAACAGCCATAATGATGGAACAAGCCGTGCAATGTCAAAAGTGCAAATCAGTTAATGCTTCTTTGCTGGGTAGATTTCCACTTCCAAAAGTGCACAAGATGCACCCATGCATAGTTTGTTTATTTAAGAT